CCCCCTCCCCCCCCAAAAAAAAAAATGGAATGCAGTGGCGACACAACCACCACCAGGTCCACCACTCCATCGTCATCATCTCTTCCTCAATCTCCCCCAAGTTTTCCTCCCTCTGCTCCACCACCAGTCATTCTAAGCCCTTGTGCTGCATGCAAAATCCTCCGTCGCCGATGTGCCGAGAAATGCGTGTTGGCACCGTACTTTCCACCAACTGAGCCGCTCAAGTTCACCGTTGCCCACAGAATTTTTGGAGCTAGCAACATCACCAAGTTGTTGCTGGTAAATTTCCTCTTGTCTTGACTTTGGAGCTTTGTTTCGCATTTATTATTCCAATTTGTCCTTGTTTGGAAGTCACTTTCTAAGAAAAAAATGAATCCTTTTTGTTTGATTAACTTCCACAGTTCCTATATTTTTTAAGGTAGTTGCCAAGACCAGGAGCAAACATTAAAGGTTGTGTGGTTTAAACCATTAAGTGGGTTCTCTTTTTACAATCTTCAAAAGGGCTCTTTTTATCAACTCCACTAAGCCAAATTGTGATTTGTAATTTTATAATCTTGATAGTTAGAAAACAAAACACCATACATTTTGTCTTTCTTACCAATGATAGTTGAGCGGGTTAGTTGTGTCTAATACTAACAACATTCATTTTAGATACGATATTAGATTTACTAGCTAGTAATATTTGAAAATTTTCAGGAACTTCCCGAGTTTCAAAGAGCTGATGCAGTGAGCAGCATAATTTACGAAGCAAACGCCAGGATTCGAGATCCAGTTTATGGTTCCACTGGAGCAATTTATCAGCTTCAAAAGCAAGTTAGTGAGCTACAAGCAGAATTGGCCAAGACACAAGTGGAGCTCTTCAACATGCAACGCCAGCAAGCCAATTTGCTATCCTCAGTTTGCCTAGAAATGTCACAACATCAAGAAAACATGTTACAAACACCTTATGAAATTTCCAACTACTTCAATGATGATGGCTATCTATGCAACACTACATCTTGGGAACCCCTTTGGACATGAACAAAAGTTGAAGATGCTTCAAGTTTACATCTCCTAGTCGAGACAAGGAAAAAATAACAGTGACATACATGAGAAATTTGTAAAATTATTTGGTATGATAATTATATTTCAATTGATTTGACTGTTTTAATACCTATACTTTTCTAATTTGACAAAAATAAATACAGATTTTAGGTCTCTTTATTATTTGTTTGTACCAATTATTGCACTAAAACAACTTTGGGTTTCTAATTTGAGCATCTAATTTAGAGAACGAATATATTGTGATCATTAGACCTCATTCGGAACAAGTGAGGAACGAGTGACCACAAGCTCCGCTTAAGCACTTGATATACAGTTACCTTACAACATGTTTATCATGTGGCAGAGTGAAGCGCACCTATATGAATTAACCTAGCATTACTTTAGTTAGGAGTAGAATGAATGATTTACAACTGAAAGTCAATTCTCCGAGTCAATGTATCGTACGACATAATGAAGATCTTGATCTAGATCCGATAATTTGCAGAATTCGAGACTTAACGATGTTTAATTCGTCACATGAACTGAATGAGAGCTGATGATTCCCCACTTCCCCCTTTTCAGGAAACAAGCAAGTTGAGACCTATTGTTAATCCAATAAGCACCATCCGTCAAGTTCTCGTGTTACATCATCAAATTAGGTCTTAATAACTTTAGAGGAATACTATTTGGACCTAAAAATCTAATATAATTTGTTGACATAATGATATGCCTTTATAGAAATTATTGGATCAATGCCAAATTTCAATGTTTGATGGAATTTACAATTAATTCAAAGGTCACAATAAATTAGGTCAATAAATTATATCAGTAAATTAGGTCACAATAGTATTGCTCATAACTTTATCCCAATTGTATTTTCTCCCGAGTTTTTACATGGCTTCTTGGTCAAACTTGCCCTTGACCAAGACCAACATACTTTCTTTAGTCTTCAAAAGCAACTTAATTCCTTTATATAGAGTAAAAAAAGGCTTGCTCAGTGGTAGTTGCCTTTCCCTCTTTGGCTCGTTCAAGTTGGTTCAATTTCTTATACAAGTCGAAAATGACTTGAAGGTTAAGCTTGTTTTAATACACGCTCGGGCTCGGGCTCGAGCTATTCGATTAGATCATATAAACTCACTATTTTATTTTATTTTATTTTATTTTCATAAAAATTTAATTTATATATTTTTTCCAACTATGTGTCATCTGTCAACAATACACTTATGACCCATTGACTCTCATGAGCTGGAGCATACGAGTTTGAGCCTAAACTCATATTCAACCATACATTAATAACAAACGAGTTTAAATGAAATGAGTCCGAACCACTCGTCTTTTTTAAACGAGTCAAGCCTAAACAAAATTTTAAACTCATTAGAGCTTGATCAAAGTATAAAAATTACGAGCCGAGCCTAAACACATCAAAACTTGCTCAAGTTAAAGTCGTTTAACACCTATAATCAACTGTGACTAAAAAAAATCCCTTGAAGTATACCTTTTATCAGATCAAAAAAAGTATATCTTTTGTAGTGGTTTATAACATTATATCATGCACTTTGTGACAAAGGGGAGTAACTATTTTGGTGGTCGGTGCTTTTCTTTTTTCAAAAGTAAGGAGCTTATTATTTGGAAAAAGCACTTAATATCTATTCACTTTATTTTCAAAAGTTTAAATCATATAGGTGCAATTGTACGAGGCATAAACATATGGCTCCATCATTATAATCTGCTAATTGATATTATTCCGTAGATGAGCGGATTCTATCAATTTTTTTAATAGAACCTACTCATCCAATACTCATCTAATAAATGATATATATTTGAATTGTAATTTTTAAATTTTATTTAACTTGTGCAACACTTTCTTGGTATATGCATACTAGAGATTTTTCCAGCTCTTTTTTAAAAATCACTATTCCAAACATACTTTAAAATTGTAGAAATCACAATTATTTATGGCTGGCTATACGCATAGTGTAATTGTTTTTACTCAATGGCCAATAAATAAAATAATAATTTAATTTGGCTCCTTATAGTTTGATTATTGTTCTCACTTTAATCTTTACAGTAACCCAAAAAATATATGTGAAAAAAAAAAAGAAGAAAAATCATTAGCTCAACCTTAAAGATCGTATATCTTTTAGCAATTAACAATTCAATTTACCACATCATGTGCAACCTCACCCACGCCTCCTAAATACTGTTAAAAGAAAAGGAAAAATCCATTTGTCGGCAAGCCATAGGATCTTTCCTCACGCTCTCTCTCTAGTGACAACACTATTCAAGCATTGGAATTTTTTTTTTTCGGGTAACTCAAGCATGGTAATATTGTTCACAATAACATGTACCCAAGTAGGTCCCACTTCTACCCTCATTCACATAATAACAACTTCCATGGTCAAAAGTGTTAGGAGTAATATTATGGTTACCAAATTTTTTCATCAAATTTTTATGTTAAATGATATGACACAATTTTTCACCATCAAATGAGTAGGTCTCGTTAATGTTCAATGACGGAGATTGTGTCGTATCATTTGATACGGAAGATTTTATAAAAAAATTGAGTATGTTTAACATTTTCCAAAATGTTATGTTGTAGACCACTAGGCCATATGTTTCATGGTACAAAAACAAAAAAAGTGGGTAACATATTTTTGTGTTTTTATAATTTTTGTAGGTCAGTTTACAACAAAAAAAAAATTTATAATTTTTATGAGTGATTTACAACTTTTGTTTAGAATTGATTGTAAATCACCACAAAAATAATAAAAACACTCATAAAAATTATTAAAATACCCACAAAAACTATAAATGATGGTAGAATACCAAAATTCGGTAACATACTAAAAATTCTCGGAATACATTGTACATGGTCATCAAGATGGGTCCCACCAATGTGATCTCTTGATTCGATTTTCCATTCGAATTTTTTTTTTTTTTTTTTTGCTGGAGGGGGGGGGGATAAGTTTGTTGAATCTTTTCAATACTTACCGAAAAAAAAGATGTTGAATCCATTTGCATCAGGAGTAGTTCAGTGCATCAGGCAGTAGTAGTCATTGGTCCTCACGTGGGTGGGCATATGAAGATTTTCGTCTCTGATCAGAACAATAAACCAAATTTCTAGTTAGAGAAAGGGACATCTTCCCGGTACATGGCTTCAACCCCCTTTTTTTTTTATAACGGTTAGGGAGTGTAGAAGTCAATTTACACACATTTCTTTAATTTTGTCCTTTGTTTGGTCAAAAATAAGTTATTCATGTCGATACTAGCAAATTAAGGTGAGATAAATTTTTCATGGTCTAATTTCAAGGGGTTGTAAAGATTCGAACTCAGAACGTCTTGTTTTACAACTCGTCTCTATTACCATTTGAGTTATCCTTGGAGTTATGACTTCCACCTTTCACGTCGGGTTGTAGTTAGCTCGAGTTATTGAGTAAACTTAGAATATTTTGTTTGATTATTAATGATTTAACTTCATTTCGAGATGAGTTTAGATCATTTTTCTAAGCTCGATTTGGCATGAACTGTCCAGGATATTCACGCAAAACCAAGTTCAAGTTCAAGTTCTTAAAATTTTTTGAAATTAATCATGGAATATATATATAATACTCAATTGAGGATAGGATTGGGCACTACGGTAAGATTTCTTTATTGTACATAGTCTGAGAGTCGAGAATTTGAGTCGCGTATATAGTCTATCTGAGTATAGGATAAAACGACATACTTCTGATTATCTTCCTAGTTTCTATCTTTTTATAATGAATTGGTTTTTATTTTTTAGAATATAATAGTTAATTATGAACTGATCAATCATTTAACTTAAAATCCAACTTAGAATTTGATTTAAGTATTATACGTCTACAAACTTTAGAGAATATAAGTGTAATATATTAATAGACATTAACGACAAGAGTTTAAATGTTACACGTGTACAAATCTTAAGAGCTCCATGCATAATATTTCAAATGTCAAAGAGTCTAAATGATTAAATGACAAATCTCAAAAGATCTGAGTGTAATCCTCTAACTAAGTGAAATAGTAATATTGTCACGAAAATAAAAGCATATTTAGTTATTATATAAAAAAATCCATTTATATGAATATTAATATACAACTATTGCACGTATATATGGATATTTGTACTGTACAAATGCCATGTGACTGACAGAGGAAGCAAACAAACAAGAATAAAGCTTTAGCACGGCAAGTTATTGTGATCGACAGAAAAATCTAAAACCAGCCTAAGCCTAGTAATTGGATCAAGGTTGGCGGTTCCACGCTATAACCAGCTTTCAATATGTAATCGATGGCGCAGTTATATGGGACCAGGAGTCCTGGCCCACCCTTAATTTTTATATTATATTTAAAAAATTAAAATTTTAACTTATAAAAATACAATAATAGTCAAAATTAATTAAATTTTATTTATTTTGTTCCAATGTTTTAAAATTCATCATTGTCGAGCCCCAAAAATAAATCATTCATCGTTTAATCCAAAAAAATTATCAAAATTTAAAATCAAAATGTCTGAATTTACAACGTGTCTCAACCTTGCCACCACTTTCTCTCTCCTTTATTCCTATCCGATTCAAAAATGTCAACTAAAGCTGGAATTGAAGTGTCCAGAACATAGTTTCGAGCTTTGCCATAATTGGAAGTGTGTGTATATATGTTTTGCATGCATTTTGTTTGTTCATATAGGTAACTAGATTAGGTGTTTCACGTGCATGGATACTGTGCTTCCTGATTACAGTTTTCCTCCTTCGGGTCGTGTATTCCATGGTTGGTTCATGCACAATCTTCAAGACGAGATTGCCTTGAAGTCAGCACTAGCACGAGGGCTTAGGGGTGACGATCTCTTGTGCCGCGTGCGATTTGTATTATTTTGATTAATACTAATTAAATTTATTTATTAACAATAGTCGTGTTCAAATTGACACTTACAATCTGTAAACCAAAATCCATGATTACAAACCCATAAGATTTTTTTTAATCAT